CGCTCTTCCTGTTTTCTGTTTAGCAATTAAAAAATTCCAAAATGTCCAGTATAACTCGACCAAGTATTGCAGGGGGAGCTTCAATAGCTCTAACAGCTGCCAATAATAATTTTACGATGCTTAACACAATTTATTCGAGGAAAACGTTTATTTATTCGCGCATCTGTACCGAAATGGCCGACCACGTTTAGCATATGTATCATCATCGGTAGCTATCGAAGTTGCGTGGATAAAATTGCGCCATCTCGACATGCTTTACTCGAGATCGGTTATTTTTATTACGGGCACTATCGAGTGGAACATCCCCCAGTGACGATAAACCGGGAAGCCACGCGATGGCGCGGCCGACAACCGCCCCTGTATTTATAAACGCGATCGTTAAACGGTTTATTAGCTCGAATTGGAAGCTGAAGAAGCAGCCGTCTGCTCTCTGTTACGACGTCGGTGCTCAGGGTTCCGCGGGTGGGAATATGCTGCAGATTGATCGGGCCGTCGTGCTAGGCGTGCCGGACGATTATTGCCGCCGTTGGCCGAAGTCGAGACGGATTAGCGCGCGGTTCTGCCACGAATTAGCTTGGAATCCCGGCGATGGGAGCCCGGGGACCGCCGGTGGAACCGAGGAGAAATCCATACGTCTGGGGCCGCGCGCTTTCTAGCCGCCTCCGTCGACGGCTGCGTCGAATTATTCACGCGCGGCTGTCGCGAGCGCGGGAGGGGGCGGTAATCTCGTTTAAGTTTCGGTTCGCGGAAGACTCGCGTCGTCTCGCTACCTCCTAACGAGGGCTCCCGTGATGGATTCGCGGTTATATTTCAGGGGCGAATCTCGCTCGCGTTCCCCGGGAATCTTGTGAAACGCGCGTTCCTCGCGCGCGAGGACCAACGCGCCTCCTCCCCGCCTCGCGGAGAAAACACGGCTAAGAATAAGTCCCAGCGGTTTACACGCGACAGCGGCAGGATCGGATGGGGGTGTGTCGCTGGTGGTCAACCGACGCGCGTCGAAATTACGAATCGGTAGCGTCGCGTGCAGTAAGAGGAGGATCTGAAAGAGGTAGGCGGAATGGGGAATGTCGAGGGTACTAAAGAGCAACAGCGTTGATGGGTACAATCGGTGGGCCCTCGATTTTCGCGCACGATTGGTTCCTGACAGTGTGTGCGAATGTTGAATATTGGAAAATAGTGGGATGTTAGAAATATGCATCAAAAACTGTGTTTTAAAGTATCTATTTATCAATATGTATACATGATGAGGTTAAAAAGGCGTGTTTAAATGCTTGTCACGAGTTAGTTAAATGCCACCCTTTTTTCTCTTTTCTTGAAAGAAAGGCTTGAAAAGTTGAATTTTTAAAAGTGTACAGAAGTCGAGGACCGCCTGTAAATTGAAATCTGTATATTTGAGTTCGTGGTAGTGTTTTGTCACGTTTGCTCTTGCGTTGAACAGTAGCAGTGTGCACTTGTACATTTAACCCTTTGACTGCCACGCTGAAATCGCAAGTTTTCCTTAAGACGTCGCGGGAGTGCTAGTCCATCATGGTCCTAGGGCCGTACGTCCCAAATCCACCATTTAACTTAGGATGCGCGGTCCTAGGCTCTCACGTCCCTAGTCCACTACTTAGGACACGCGGTCCTAGGGCCGCACGTCCCAAGTTAACCACTAAGATCGCGCAATGCTAGGACCACACGTCCCTAGTCCACTACTTAACTTAGGACACGCAATCCTAGGGCCACACGTCCCTATTCCACTACTTAGAACACGCAATCCTAGGACCACACGTCCCAAATCTACTATTTAACTTAGGATGCGTAGTGCTAGGGCCGCACGTCCCAAGTCCACTACTTAACTTAGTACACACAATTCTAGGACCACACGTCCCTAGTCCAGTACTTAACTTAGGACACGCAATTCTAGGACCGCACGTCCCAAATCTACCATTTAACTTGGGACGCGTGGTCCTAGTGCCACACATCCCTAGTCATCACTTAACTTAGAACGCGCAGTCCTATAGCCGCAATAGCGCATGCATATTTGTGTTTCTCAGCCATAGCAATTTGTTCACGTGTCATCTACGAAGCCCTGGGCCCTATCAATTGTTTTCACCAAATTCATATATACAGAGTCGTCGACAAAGGCTTAAACTTCATATTAATAATCCTGCATTAGACATTGACATTCTGGTTACCGAATTTCTCGACTTTCCTCGATACAATCGTACTCTTTCTTGCCAAAATTCGCGTTCCAATCCATTCCGTCGATCGCGACGGATCGTATGACATAGGTGATTCAGTATCTCTGCCACGAATTCGTGGAAATTCGATTTCTCGGTACAGCTCTGACGTTCGGAGTATCGTTCGATGTTACGTAGTCGGATGAAGTGTTTTGAGCGCGACAGAAATCAGCTCTCAGCCGGTCATCGCGACGAGATCACGCGTGTAGGGCAAAACTGTTTGCGCGTAATCACGGGCATATCGACGATATAGGCTGATAAAGCTCGGTTTGACGTAGACGCGTGGAAACGGACGCGCGATGGTATCGGGGTTTCGGCCAATTTATATCTGCTCTGGAGCACGGATACTCGCCATCGGGAGGTAGAAACGATAAAAAGATTGCCGGTGGAAAACACGCTCGGCTCCGCCAGATGTTGCGGAGCCCATTTCAAGCGACTTGGACCGCGGCGCTGTGACGGCGAGCGCGCTTCCACGGAGAACGGGGGGACAGAGAGAGCTGATAATTAAATTCTGCATTTATTCCACGCCGACGTGTTCCTCTTTTTGCCCCAACCCGCTGGGCCCGTCGCGAGACCACGATAAGTGCATTAATCCTGCGAAGCGAAAGGTCAATCCGAGGGACGTCGTGGATTGAACGTTGGCACATGGTGTGCCGACGGGATTTTTTCCCCCCCCCCCCCCCCCCCCCCTCCTGGACCCTGTTCACTCGCGGTGTCCCGGAATCCTTCGTTTTTCCGACGAATCGCGCTTGTAATTCTATCGGGCCCAAATTATATTACATCGAAACAGAAATTTATATTACACCCTCGTGACGATAACAGCGGGCCAGTTATTATTGCTAGTTGTTATTGTACAACTTTCGTTGAAAAGCGGGAAGCGCGAGCAATTAAATTAGAATTAATCGGGATAATTATACTAATTGCTTGTTTTGATCGGAATGGTGGAACAATCAATCTCGCGTCCTCCCCCGGGCAACCGGTCGAGAGCGATTGGATAAAAGCAGACAACGAGTTCCAGGTAGCGACTATCCCTCTATATGGCACCGTGTCCATAGAGTGACTCGTCATTCTAGCGCGCTATAAGGCATTTAAATCCGCCGCGGTATATATACGCGATCCAAGTTGAATCCGAGATCCTTCCCGACGCTCTGTCTCAACGTCTACACGGAAGCAGAACTCCGTGATTACGAGAATAGCCGATTCCGTGACAAAAGTGCCGGTTCCTTATCTCAACAGCCTCTCCCCGGGTACGATTTAATTAACGGCACAGCGGACTTATAAATAGGACAAGGCGACGAGGCAAGGTAGCCCGAGTTTCAACGAGTATAGGAGCGATCGTCTCGTTTGTGACGAATTTCCACGCGCGATCGAGTCTCGTCTGGCCAATCGGTGAGGCCCAGCCGACGATAACCGTCCGCCATCTTTCTATTGGGCGAAATTACGCGATCGGTCGGCGAATCGCACGAAATCGCGCTATAGCGAGGTCTGTGTGCTTCTTCTGCTTCGGTTAAACGTGGACGATCAGCGTGATATTGGAATTTCCATGAGTTGCGTTTTTCCCGCGTCCCTCGCGGCGTCGATTGCGCGACGATCCTCGAGTTAGAGAGTTATCGTCGCGACTCCATCTAGCGGCCGATAATGCGCGCGTGTCGTTACACGGTTTGCTTCTCTCGAGCTGCTTATCTACACCGCCGCAAATGGTGGCTTTTTGATCTTCGCCGCGCAATCAGCCCGAGTCGGGCCTGATAACGACAGATACCATCGCTCCTCTGCTTATCTCCGCTGCTTGCCTGATTGGAAAGTAACAATTACTCTTGAATTTCTGGATTTTCGGATTTCGGGCTTCGAGAGTTTAACCCGTTGCACTCGAGAGACGAGGTTTTTGGGCATCGTTTGATCGAATGTTAGAGATCGGTGTT